TCATAATAAAGATTAACACCTGGTGTCTTTCCCGTGGGATACATCCTGAAGTACTGTCCCAAGAATGTTTTTCCCAGTCGTCCAATGAGCTACTGTCCTGTCCTAGCTGCACGTAACACACTTTAAATACAGGTTATCTGTACAATAAAGTTGGCCTTTTTTCCCCAAAGAGGTCCGTGTGTGTCGCTGTCCTTTCTCTCTCTATGCAGTGCAGTAACCACATGCCCATAAACGACTAAAAGATAAGGATTGTGTACCAGAGGAAATACATCTGAATCACACAAAAGCAGTATGCAGGCTGTCCACATGAGGACATTTCTCATAAACTTGTGAGGTGGATGCCAGTCACACAGCACCCAAGCACAGAGAGGAGAGTGTGCCTACATAGCAGGGAAGAGCTTGACCCCCAAGTTCTTCCATTAGATGCTACAGGACTTGCTAGAGACAAGGTGACATTTAACTGTCTCCAGAAAAGAGGGAGAAAAATTGAGAGTTACAACCTACTTGTGATTGAGTTTGGAGAAATAATTCCATTCAAAAAGGGTTTTTTTGAGTCTGACCTGATTTTTCCCGAGTTTCACACTTTTAACAAACAGCTGAGGTTGAAGCTCATGTTACCAGTGTTTAGGAGTCTTTTTTTTTTTGAAGACTACTTTTCAGTAGCATTCTTCATCTCCAAAACTGGGTAGCTCTTTAAAAATAAACTTCATAGGAATACAGTGAAAAGGAAATAGTACAGAGGCATAAAAATAGACTCAGGAGTCCAATAACAAACTATAAATCATTCATTTCCATCACACATTGACTTGCAGCAACATTTCTGCTTTTTCTAACGAAAGTAGTTCAGAACATTTAGGGATAGATTCATTGTTTCTAAACAGAAAGCATTTTAACTTGCTCCCAAAACAAAGAAATCACAGGTAACCACAGTTTAAGTTACCTCTTCTTGACTTAGACATATTTCAGTGCTATCCTGCTGTGCCTGACAGAAAGTTTGTCCAAGTCCCTTGTGAACTCAAGGCAGACCTCAAAAAAACATGGATCTTACTCCTGGGATGTCTTCTGCAGACCTGGACTCCTCCTCATTGAAACGCATTAAGTTTGTATCAAGAAGTTAAAGACAAGAAGAAGGAAGAGTTGAAATAGGGTAGGCAAGGGAAGAAATATAAGAAAATATTGAAGACTACCATGGCTAAAGTCAAACAAAGTGATAAAGGAACACAAGCTGCCTCTGCAGCTATTGCAGGCTTGCTCCTGCTACCCCCAGCCCAGTAAATTAGCTTGATGCCAGGATTGTTTTGTTGGAATTAACACAGTTCAGACTACTTAGCTAGCCTCTGAACTGCATTTAATGCTTACTTTAATCAATATATTCCTCAGTCACACCCATCATGCGGCTCCAAAAGAGTAAATATAATTACAGATGAGAACAACTTAGAAAAGCAGATAGCCCACATTTGCTACAGTAAAAATGTATTGGTTCTAGTGAAGAAATATATAATATGAATTAATATATCCAAAACCGTTGATCATAATGATGAATGATAGGAGATGCCTTGGATCCAAGACAACTATAAAAGTTGTTTTGATTGAAAGGAGAAAAATAACTCACCACTTAAAATTCTAATTAATATGAGTAATATATGAACTGATTCAATACAGAAAATCCACTTTAATTCTATGGTCATAAATTGGTCAAAGATACACCTGTCAAAAAAGGACTTCTAATAATGTACCATTTATTTTACCAAAATTTACTATTAATATGCCTAATTTCTAATATCATCAGATAGAAAAATCTTCATATTCTATAAGTTTCATAGCCCAACTTTCTCCCTCATAGAATCCTTCAAGGACAATCCCACCATGTTATTTGAGGAAAAAAAAAAAAAAAAATCAAATGCATTAAACCATCCAGTCAATAATCCAGAATCAACAGCTCATAAAACAAAACCCTTATTTAAAAGTATAATGTCACCATGTTTGTTTTCCTTAACAACCTCAATTGCTCGTTAATTTTTCAGGGGACCTGTACAGATGGGATCTCAATTGCAAAGGAAGCAGGCAGAGACACCTCCATGCCATTCCAAGGTAGGCAAAAGTAAAGGGCTAAATAGGCTTAAGACAGGGATCTCCCCCTCCAAGTAGTAGAAGATCCAAAGCACATTGCAAATGGTGAGATAGTCAACAGAAAGAACTGTAAGGGTTAGGTATTCTGGTATCTTCTTTCCCAATTAGCATATACTTTCTCCCTGGGCTAAGTGAAAATTTTTAATTTTGGGAGACTGGAAATTTAGTATTACAGGCAAAGTCTGTTTGAAAAAAGTTTCAAGTTTAAAATACAACTTTTCCTGAGCTCTGGCAACTGTACTGCTACCAACAGAATTTCTATGACAATAGTGCCAGCACAGTACAGATTTTTTTTTTTTTTTAATACTAACTGGGTCAAGAAATCAAGCCTATCATTGATCTATTGAGAAAAAAATGTCTAGATTTACGGTAAGAAACATTGTTTACAAATAGCATGCTACAGACCAGGTATTATCCTGCATTCTTTATGCACCACAAACTCAGCACTAATCCCAGTACCAAGGAAATTGAGATTTCATTATCTCTAGTAAATCAGTACTAACTAGACAGTATTTGTGCAGATCAAAAAAGACAGATTCATAATAAAGAATAAAGAAATAGTATAATAATAAAAGGTAAAATAATACATAATAATAAGGAATAAAATAAAATTCTAGATTAGTCCTTATAAACAAAATATAGCAAGGAGTATTTTACATGGGCTGGAAAGCAGGGTGTAACATCCATTTTAGGTTCTAGAGAAGTAAAGCAGTGATCCTAGCTTCTGTTCTGCACAGTGGGAGACCAGAAGTAATCCTCTAGTCATAGAAAAGATTGCACAATAGTTAAGCCTTTATAACAATAGCTGTGGCTCACCTTGTACAACTGTCTTGGAAGAGCAAAGTCTCAAATCTTAGTATGGGAATTAGGCAGAAAGCAGTGAAAAAAAATAAAAGTTCGAGGTACAATCAACACTATCACTCACTTACTCATAACATCAATGTGTAACCCCTTGAGTCGATTGCTCCCTTGGGTCCTTTCAAAATTTCCCAATCCATGAGAACACTCCCATATTTATCCCAGCAGTATTAATTAAGCAATGGAATAGAACTGTTCACATCTCATTTTATCTATCTTTCAAGTTGAAAGAAGATGTGTTTTATTGCTGCCTTTTATTTTTTTAATAATAATAGCAATAGTAATAATAACAACAATAGGAAAAAAACAGAAAGAGGAATTTCTCCAAAATGTGTATAAATGGCTAAGCATTTTACACTACTAACTTAAAGCAATTGTGTCCATGAATCAAGAGTTTTCTGAAGCCTCCATGAGAATAAGTATTATTAAGCTACCTGAGAAATCCACTGTTTTTCCTATTGTTTTAAATGAAATCTAATCAATAAACCTAGGATTAAAGTGTTCTTAAGTATTTTTTTTTCCTAGACATGCAAATAAAACCTGTCACCAAAAGCAGTATTTACTTTCACTCCTCAGGAGCAGCCAATATACTCTACTAAACTTCATGCTGCACAGTCAAGAAGCTTAGCATAAGCTCACAGCACTAATACGTCTGTGTACAAGGTGAACTCCGTGCTACTATAAACATATTTCTTGGTTCCTGTCTCTTACCAGTGGCCAATGGAGTGACAAATAACAAACTCTTCAGGAGCATATCTATCCTTTTAAGAAGAAAAGGGAGCTAACAAAACAACATAACCAGGAGATTGAAAACAGTATCTGCAGTAGGAGGGCAAAGAAGAAGAAAAATGGAAGTGGGTGGACAGCAGCTGTGCAGCTATAGAAAATGGAAGGGGTGGGAAGACAAAAATGAGAAGATGAATAGGAAAGGAGACAAACGAGATGTGAAGAGACAGAAGACAAAATTAACAAGAATTAGTCTAAAACAGCACTTCTTAAATCCTGGCTCAGCCAAAGGAAATTACAAAGTCAGCCTGACAGGAAGAGTAAGTAAATTACAATGCTGCTGTCAGCGTCTCACTTCTTGAGTGGTGCTGCCAAGAGTCAGTCATGGCTGCGAAGTGCTAGCCCAGTGTGGCTGGGACAGGTGCTGCAGTGGCCTTCTTAGCTACATGTCTTATGAATAGATGCTTCAGAGAGTAAGCACCATTTATTGGGAATAGGAAAAGAGAGGAAAGGGTAATCACCTATGAGCTCAACTGGAAAAGAGATTGAGCCTTTATTAGCTACTCCACACACTAAAACAGCTCCCACACAAGTCACACTTAATCCAAAGCATTAGGAAAGCAGGAAAGCATTTTGTTAAACAGACCCCAAAAACTTATCAGGAATTGAGGTGAACTACTATGCAAAGATACACAAATTACGTTAAAATTATATCTACAGTAAAAAAGTTTTCATCCAACATTCTTAAAAACTCCTGAAATTGTAACAGGTAAAGACAGAAAAATCTTCATAGGCACCTATGCAATGCAAGGAGAACTGTGATGTTTAGGGAAGTGGTCCAAGGTACAGCTGCAATGCTTTAACATTTTAATTCATTAAAGATATTAGCCACATAAGACAGCATGATGCCCTTATAATCTGCAATATCTTGCCTTGTATAATCAGTCCATACAGAATCAATGTGGAAAAGGAAAGTAAGTTTCCTCAAGATTCCCATCCTAACTGGCCTTCACCAAAACACAAATAAACATAGAAGAGACTGCACCTATGGATGGGCATAATTGCCACCTCTCCCCTGAGTTTATTCAATAATGCAAATAAGAATCAAATAACGTTTTACAGAATTCTATGATTGAATATAGTGTAGTATTAGCTTTCCATTAACCTGATGTACAATGCATCATTAACTCAAAGGGAACCTGGGAGGAAGCTAAAGGCCCATTTTTACTGAGAAACACTACCAAAAATACAAAAATGTTTGCATAAACTGAAAACATACCGTGAATGTCTCTTCTGTACTTCTTTTCCTTTGTACTGGAGCAACTGGAAATTCAAGAAGGGACTTTACCGTCTTCCTTTTGGCTTTTTCCATTTGAATGTTAGTAAAATAGTTGACAGCAGCAAACTCAATGAGAGCAGAGAACACAAAGGCAAAGCAAACCGCTATGAACCAGTCCATGGCAGTAGCATAGGATACTTTTGGCAGTGAATGTCTTGCACTGATGCTCAGTGTCGTCATTGTCAGCACTGTGGTTATGCCTTCAAAAAAACAAAGCAACAGAACTGTTGAATCAAAGTAAAACAAAGCAAAAACTGGCAATCAGCTTCAAACAAAGACTTTTAAATCACTTGTGAGTCTTTCTCTGCTGCCTGTGAATATGGCATTAGATCTAAGTCACAGAAAGCTACACAAATCCATGAGCAGCTAAGGCCACAAACAGTTAATCACTTTTTAAAGAAGGTACAGAAAACCGTGACTTCAGCAGATCATCTACAACTCACAGAACAAAACACAGAAGCCTTCATTTCACATGTTTTTCACTTCAAGTTCAGTAGAACTTTTTACAAGTTATTTTCTAAACATTTGAATAAGATTTAAGTTGTTAAACTGGGGGGTACTCCTCAGACCACAACAAAAACGTGACTTTTCCTGTAAATTGTTCTGAACACCACCTATTATTCTGCATCTGTGCCTCTGATCACACTTGTAATCCAGGAGTCATTAAGTCATGACAAATTATTTTGGTGCTAAGGAAGAATATTATTTTAAGAACTCTGTTAGTTAAGAAACCATCAGGGTTTTTTACAGCGTTCTGCTACTAGTCAGCCAATGAAATTTGATTCAAAAGAACAACTTTAATTAAAAGGTGTGCAAGCATGAACACTGAACTCAAAAAATGGCCACTTCGTGGTAGTATTTCAAATTCTAGATAAAAACAAATTAATGGGTTCTTTTTTTCATGCAAAATATATCATACAAATGTAAAACCCCAAGTATGTAGGGAACACTGCATAAATCCTAGCATGATAACCTCAACGAGTGACTACAAATAGAGATGTCCTTACTCTTGTGAAAAGAACACTGTACCCATTCTAATTCAAGATGCAATTCTTATGCTCAGAAGAATTTAAACTCATTATTAATGTTTTTCAACAGATTCTTTACATCTCTATTTGCTAAATGATGGTGCTCCATCAAGGTAATATACAAAAAAAAAGCTTCACCTACACACTGGCATACAGAGAACTGGTCACAATTAAATCAGTCCTTCCTATTAAAGAAGAAAACTGAAAAAAGAGTAATAGCTAGGTCATGGGAACTCAAAGGATTTCTCGGAGTTTTCAGGAGATTAAAAAATACAGATTCAAGCTCACAAAACCTTCTTCAGTGGGAAAGTGTTGAGAACCACACCATTGAAAATGTTTAAGTCTGATAAAAAAAATTATGGAAAGTTGTTAGGGTTTTTTTTTTTTCCCTGGAGAAGACCCATCTCTTTTTAGGCCTACCCTGTCTAAGGGCCTCAGTAGACACTTGTCCACTTCAAGTAAAAAGTTTGTCTGAATTGTTTCTAAAAATGTTAGTTTAATAGATGTAAAATTAGGGTAAAGTGAAATAAATGACCAGACATTAACCAAAAACAAGCAGGAGATAGTACAGAATTAGTTTGCTGACAGTTTTTACCAGATTTTTCCCTATTAAATCATTCTTCTGGAAGACTTGGAGCTGCCAGTACTACTGCAGCATCTTGCCAGCATCTAGCAGTCTATAGAAAGGCTTGTAATAGAACATTCTCTTCCTGCTTTAGGCTGCTTTTAAAATGTTTTTATCCTATTTCTTTGTTAGGAAACATATTTCCATTTAGTTTTTCACACTTTGTCTTCCACTGAAGATTTTCTGTTCTTTTCACTGTGCCATCCCATTCAAGCTGTATTTTGAAGAGAGCACTTTTAATATCTTGTGATCATTTTGTTTTTGTAATTCATTTTCATGATGGCAGAGGTAGAAAGGAAAAAAAAGCACTAAATATGAAATTACAGTAACAGAACCTCAGCCTTACTCATAGCAAGCTTCCACTGATGACACAGATACCTCAAAACAAGACATTGGAACATCTCACACATTCCAAATCAATTTATTTTACAGGTATTCTATAAACCATGAGTTCAAGTACTTACACTACTGTCCACTGGAGGATAAACCTGATCTGGATGTAGACTAAGGACCTGAGTGTATTACTCAGAGCCAGGTCTTTCCAGCTTGCTCCCTCAAGCAGGTAGAATCCCTAGAGCTGAGCAGCCGTTTGCTACATATGACCATGTCACCCTTCTGGTCATATATTCCAAGTTTCTCTTCAGATTCCAAAGGTTCACATAACAACATTCTTCATGCATCAATAGCAAAATTCACCCTGAATTTAAATTATTGCCTTGTTTCTGCAATAGCATGGAGTATACCCCAAAGCACTAAAAAGGCCTTTTCTAGTGAGAGTTATTAAAAGAGCAAGTACAAGAAAAAGTAAAAAGAATAAAAAAAGTAAATAATTACCAAATACAGTTCTAGCAGGAACAGATTCCTTGTTTATCCAAAATGAAACTTGAGAGAGGATCACGGTCATAATGCACGGGATATAGGTCTGAATCATAAAATAACCCATTTTCCGTCTGAGATGGAAATAAACTGTCATAACAATATATTCACCTAAAAAAAAAAATTCTCTGTGTATAAAATTTGTGTTTCAGACTCCCAAGTAGGATATTTAAGGTGGTGCTACACATATAACTTAACGTGTACAGAAAGATATCTTTTTTAGAACAAGAATGAATGAAGTTTTTTAAAAAATCCTAGAAACAGTAGGTCCTTACAAAGAAGTTGATATAAAAAATAGTATAATACAACTAATACTGGATTATATTCTACTGTATAAACATGGTTTTTAAAATCCTTTGGACAACTGTTGAAGAAGAGAATCCCAAGACACAATGCATCTCCTACCACAGTATCCATAACGTTGTGGTACCTACCTGATGAATAAAACAATAAAAACAATGACACACTCCAAATGTTATGCAAGCATCTCAACTTTTTGCTAGGTTTATAAGTCAGCCCCACTATGATAACAAGCTAAATGCAACAATCATTGAGAAGAATTATAAATACTCTAAATTTACCTAAAATGTTATCATTCATATTAAGCAAACAGACCAAAAAAGCAGTTTTACCATAAACTCAATAAACTGTCTAAATAAAGCACTCCAGAAAGAGCCTTTTGGGACAGCAAAGACTTTTTTTATTAACTCATAATAATCTATATGCTGAGAAGTAAATTTCTAGTGAATTGCAAAATGCCATTTTATCTTTGAGTAAAATATCCATAGAGCAATACATCAAATATATTTGCTTTATTGGTTTCATTTTGACTATTTCACAAAACCCAAACCTGCTGATGCTTAGAAAATTATTCCAAATTTTAAAAATATTTTGGGAATATGCTTGTTTATCACCACACTGCTCATCAGTGATACTTCATTAATTTTGGATGCCTGTAGTTGCCATGTGCCTTATTTCTTACAGCACAAATCAGCAGAAGTATCTATTGTGACTAATGTATTTGTGACTACCCTTATCTGACTAGAGGGTTTTTATGGTTTTAATAACCCATTCTGTATGCTGTACTTCTATCCTGAGCTGTTTGTACCACCAAACAAAGGAAGTCTTTTGCACATAATGTGGATACAGTGCTGAGAAATTACTTCCTCACCCAGGCATCCTCTTGACTCTTCAAACTGCATTTTAAGCAGTGATTAAATGCTCATTTTGTCCCTTGGAGTAATGATCTCATTCTAGCTTTCTGAAAGACTGTCGCAATCTACTGTAATGAATCTGCAAATGTAAATCTCAAGGACAGAAACCTAATTCAGATTTACACTCTCAGCCCTTAATACATACCCTATGACATTCAGTAGAATAAAACTTACAGGAAGAAAAAGAAAAAAATCTTTAGGCAATATTACAGGTTATTTTTATCTAAAGTTGATTTTTACTGATGAGGTTCCTACCTGTAATAGATTTAATAGTTTCAGAGGATACCGTATGCCCGAGCAGGTCATACTGAACTAAACTGGAAGACTCCTCAGGAACTTCCACTGACTTCTCAGGTCCTTTTGTCCAGGTATAAATCATTTCACTCTTTGGATAAGCATCTACAACACAGCATCAGTTTGCATAAATAGGAAACTTTTCCTCATGCCTTACTAAGAACCCAAGCCAAACCTACTGAAACCAAACAGTAAAACACACATGAACGACTTCAGAAGATACCCTTCATGTTAAGCTACCCCCCAAAAGCCACCCTCAGAGTAGAATAAAAAAGAGATGAGGTTATTTGTCAAGTGTCACTGTCACACATAAATTCACTTCACTGGAATGTGAAGAGTAAATGCAAATCCCTTCTGGACCAGCCCTTATTGGGCATGCAAAGTTTATCTTTATTTTAGCAATTTCTAACTAAAAGTTTACTATTAAAATATACTAATCTAAAAAAAAAAAAAAAAGAGTATGTATAAGGAGGATATATTTTGAAGATTGGGTGCACATTACTTTACAGAAAAGAATGATCATACTAAAAACGACAATATTTTAAACTTCTGTTTAAAATATTTGCCAGAAACCATAGGTCAGTAAAAAATTCACAATGGCCCCAAAATAAGCACACACAAAGAAACATTTTACATTTAATGCAAAAGACATATCTTAGAGTAGCATTCAATCCCTACACAGTCTAAACTCCTGTTAAAATTGAATTAAATCAGTCTTACATTTGAAATGGCTGCATGTTATTTCAAGTTTCACTGTGGGAAACATGAGACTAGTGTTCAGCACAATTCCTGCTGAGTGGTGATTCTGTCTAAAGAGCTATTTCTGTGGATGAGCCCCCACTATCAAAGCCCCCCTATCATACAGCTGATACCAAAGACAAATCTTGCAGCACCTGGTCTCCACTGATGAAAAATTGTATCAGAGCAGTGTCTTTCATACCCCCATTCAGGTTGACTACCCAGCTGTATAAGCTAAATTTAGGCAATGAAAACCTCTGAAGGCACTCCAGCCATTTCTGACTTCAGAGCTCTGGGGTCAAGGAAAACAGATTAATGTCCAGCCATTGAAGGGTCTAAAGCAGAGAAGTCAGTGACCAAGAAGGCTTAAAAGAAAAACAAGATAGTTAATGGAGTGGACCAGCCATCTCCAGGGGGTCTCAGAGGTCTCTGCTTTTGATTCACATCCGGGAACCACAACTACCCTCTCTTGTTTGTTATGCTCCAAACTGTTCCTTCTATCCGAAGTTTGAACATTTTTCAAAAATCTACATCTGACTTCAAAGCAGAAAAGGAAAGTCATTTGCACTAAGATTTTTCTCACCAGTTAAAGAGTTATTTATCTAGTCTTAACTTGCCATGCAGACTCCTCTTACAGGCCAGCAGACGGACAATTACAACTAGAGGTCAAATCTCTGCCTATAACCTGCACCTCTTTCCTAAGATGCCAATGTGCTTCCACTGCCCGTAGAGAAAGACAACTAATTTGCTTCCCTAGGTGTCTTTTACCTGGCTGTTTTATCTTCTACAGAGAATCTCTCACTTCACTGAGTATCCAATTCCTCCCCAAGAACCAAGAAAAACTATATATTTCAAGCAATTGCTTAACCAGAATAGTGGGGTTTAACATAACAGCTGAATCGCTGCCTGCTTTTTAGTTCTCTGGGTTTAATTTCTGAGGTCCAAAATTGAAGTCCCAAGGACCTTAACAGGAGTTTTGACTGCATAGGGATTGCATATCAAGACATAACTGTAAATAAATTCAAAGTCTAGTAACTGCTCAAAATTTAATTCTACTATTTAAATTCTGTAGTTACGAGAAATTTCATAATTGCAACTTACAACTCCCAAATTTGAGAGGACAAGCATGACCATCCATGGGAAAATCCACTAATCTCATGGGACACTCTGCACTTATTGTAAGCCTATAATGGAACAAATTAAATAGTCTCTGGTTGCCATTTTGTCTAGGCAGTACAACTTTTGCATACAGTAATTGTAAGAAGTCAAACAAATACATTAGATACCTCATTGTGTATAGGATGGTGCCATTTCTCATTATTCTGAAGAGTTTATTTGGGGCTGTCATATTATGTGCAACAGACTTTTTCCCATTCCTGAAGAAAGTATCAGGAGTCCATACCTTCGAAACCATCAAGTTGTTAAGTCTTAAAATTTCAATAGGGCCATCATATTTTAATCTTTTATCTACCCATGTCTGACGAAAGAAGACATCCATTGTATATTCCTGTATTAAATTGCAGAAAAACAAAGATGAAATTTGCATGTGTGTTTCCTGTAAAAGAAGAAATACCTCAGGAGCAAAGAAATTATTAGAAAAATAAATCCTAAGTCCACTACACAAACATTTTTCCACCAATTAAAGTGTCTTGTGTACGTCTCAATAGCTTAATTTCTTACATTAGTCATATCAATAAACTGATACATATTTAATCATTACGGAATAATTAACCTAATTAGATTGCAGAAGCAGGTAACTGAATTTGAAGTCAAGCATATAATTGGAAATAAAATGATCTCTGACAAGAACTGTCAACAGATCTTTAAAGAAAATATATCCATAGATAGGTTGCTGTTGGCTAAATTGAAAATACAAGGACAAATGATTAGTTCCACTTCAAAGTTATGAGAGAAAACTTAATCTCATGGAAAGTAAGCTTTTAACTGAGGAAAGCTAAGTAAGTCCTTTGCCATGCCCACAAAACAGGGTTAATAAATTATACAGAAATTTGCATATAAATACGTCTTTTTAAAGTACGTAACTATCCCATTAACTTCCTCAGAAAAGCCACTGAGATGCTCCAAAGAAAACATGCAAACAATTGTAGAACTGCAGACACAGGCACATCATGAGAAATCATGTGTGAATGAATGGATGAAAGAATGCATTTCTCATCTCGGGAAGCTAAAGCATTTCACAAAAAAACTATCATTGAAAACAGTCACATAGAAGACTAAGTCCTTTCTAACTTACATTTTTGATTTTGTTGTTAAGCCAAACAATGTTTTCTAACTTCATTTCAAATTCTTCTGCATAATATTTCCATTGAAATTACTTGTAAGGCCATATCTATTTGCATTGGCAAGGAGGCATGTCTACTAGTGTAATGCATTTTAGGATTATATCTGTCTTCTTTTCCATGGCTGTATCCTCCCCTGTGATTTATAGTTAATCCATGAAAAGTGTTTCCTTTAGTGTCATTTCTTGCTGGCAACTTCATAGCTCATAAGAAGCAGTTTCTGTTATTAGCTTCTACCTGACAGATTTTGTAATATAAGATTTCAACCATTCTCATTACAAAATGAAAATGGGCACAAAAGCAACTAAAAAGACATTCTGATCATCCCCTGAATTGAGACCACAGCACACATCATTGTTGCAGCAAGTTTTATGAGAGCAGCCACATTCAGATTACATTGGGTCACTAATGGGTATATTAACTAAAGAGTATTCCACAAACTATTCCTGTATCCCTAAATAGCCTCCAAAATAATCCCTAATGAAGAAAGGGGACATATCAGCTGTAAACTCTCCTTTTGCAAGTTCCTTGCCTATCTTCAGTCCATGTTCTCACTTCTGCCTATATATATGCTCCAATATAACTAATAACTGCCCATGAAAATGAAACCTGAGAGATGCTATGCAGCCCTCACTGTAGATTTGAGGCACATATTACTAGATCTCCTTGGGATCACATTCTTTTACCCCTTCTCACTCTGATAAGCATCATACTGCACATGATAACCAATGAAGAGGTAAGATGCATTTCAACATGAGACTGCTGTCACAAATGTAGCTCTTGAAAAAATATCTTGCTATCATAGACCTTTCCACATAATAGAAATAAATCAGGTGCAATACAAAGTGAACAACAGCACTATATGGGAAGAAAATTACTACCCTGAAACTGCTTTTTCCATGAAGAAGTTCAGTTCAGCACATACGGCTGTGTTATTTCCATGGGACTTCTTGAATATGTTATAAAAAGATCAACTGCTCTATGATTCAAGGGTATTTCACTGTGTTTTAGAAGTTTATGAGAGTTTTGCTGGATTTGACCTTGAAAGCTAAAGCCATTCAGGCACAAATAACAGAACATGCAAATGTAATATTTCTCCTCTGTTACAATTTCATGCATGTCACTTGGATGTTTAATTTCTGCAGATACTTATGAAAACTCTTATCAGACAAACATTTGCTGAAGTGATGCTTAAAGGAGCACAAAGATCAGCAAAGGGCATTCGTCTGAAATGAAAACGTCAACAAGCATTTTTGAAATGATGTCATTATTATTCACCTGAGAATAACACAAGTTTTAGAAATGAAAAGCAATTTCAAAGAAATTACACATTTTCCATACAGTAGACTTACTTAAACACTCCCTGCAAGGCTGAATTCTGCCTCTGTGCCGTGAAAATCTGTTTTAAATCCTATGAAGTGAATTTCTTAAGCCAGCCAAAACCCACTGAAAGTGTGACCAGAATCAGGCCTTATGTATCTAATTATAACCTGTAAATTAAGCTGTTACTAATCTTGCCTAATTTGCATGATTGACAGAACAGTACAGATGAAGCATCCACTCCTACTGCAGCTAATGGTTTCTCAGAACCAGGAAATGGCATTTTAATCCCAGAAATACATACCATTTCTACATCAGAAACAGGTCCAAAACTGGTGACATATATATCTGTTTTGACTTCAGTAACAGGACCTAATGTATGAAAAGGAAGTGAGCAAGAAAATTTGAATTTTGCAGGTCAACAATTCCCATAAATGATCCTGGTGTGTGAACAGTTACCGCTTTCAGGGTTCTGTGGATGAGCAAGAGCAAAACGCAAACAGAGGTCAATTCATATAAGTCTCAAATAAGAAGCACTGCTCAATTACCTTTACCACATAAGTAAATCAAAAGCAGCATTTCCATGCAAACCCCCATTCAGAAAACCAATGTTGACTCAAGGGCTAAGAAAACTGATGTCAAAAAATTAAAAGGCTCACTAAAAACGGTATTCTACTTAACAACAATCTCTGAATCCAGGAAATCCACATTCCTCAAAGCATTTATTATTATTAATATTTGGACCTACTGTTAATAACTCAACTACATACATTAGCATGCCATGCACTGAGCAATTTAGTATTGCAGGATCAAGAATTGCATCCCTTTCCTGAGATGTACTTAAGTGCTTTAATACTAATATCCAAAATAAAAGTTGGAGGTCAAAGTATTTTTGAGGGTTTGAATCAAGATCCACATTCTGCTACAATGCCTGTTTTGAAAGAACCAATGATACTTAGGACACTGCCAAAAACAGTGCACTGAGCAGAGGTTTTGCATTCTTACAGCAAATCAACCACCAGAGAAAGCAGTTCCATTTTAATGTATTAGTTCCTTTACTACCTTTAAATTTTAAAAGGGCATTCACTCTTCAGTACACTCTACATTTCCCCTTAAACCAAATACATGCACTAATTTCACTGGGATTTAGGTCTCTTCCTAATGTAAAAGTCTAGAAAGCTGCTAATCATTATCAGCTGCTATGATAATTTTGTGATCAAAGCATTAGCTAACAGTTTAATTCAGGTAATTAACTCACATTGTAAGTTTAAAAAAAGAAATCTACTGAAGGTCTTACCAAACAGTATCTGTTTGAAGAAACATGCATGATCTACAAATTCACAACCAGCTTCTAAACCCCTTCAACTCAAATTACTAAAGAGGATAAGTGGCTCAAGTCTGATAATTCGAGTTTTATCATAATATTTGCAATCTAAAAATGAAAGGAGGAAAGACCCAATAGAGTTAGCAGCAGAAGAATATGTCCCACTTGAAAATAAAAAAAAAAAAATTTAAAAAATCATTCTTCACAGATGTCACTTTGAATCAAATGATAATAGATTTAAAAAAAAAAAAAAAAAGAAGTAAGCAATGGGAAAACAGGCAACCTGAATATCTTGCACCTAGAACAAGTCTCAAGCTGTGAACAAAAAGTAAAAGAAAACCATGTAAAATTGTTTTACTACAGAATTTGCCAATTATTTAGAGAAGAAAAGCTAAGAATTTTTCATCTAAATGTCAAAAAGATTGCTTTGCTGTAGGCTAAGTTTCACAGAAGGGCATTTTTTCAAAATAACTCTAAAGAAAATTCACTGTACAACAGCTGGTAGCTCAGAGATCCCTGGAAAGTTGCATAGTTTGGCATGTGTGTCTTGAAGAGGTTTTAAGAAGCAACCCCCAAGTTCCAGATAACACATTTTCATGCCATGCCATTTGTTTTGCAATGGGTTACTCTCTAAATATATCAAATGGAAGCTGCTCCCTTTTCTACAAATAACAAAACGTTCATCCGTCAAGGAAATCCATGAGTGGTTAGATCACTCATTTGACTAACAGCATAGGCCAGTGACATTTCCTGAACATATTTATTTCTGGAGAGCAGAAGAGCTCCAAGAGATTAGAAGTGAAGACATTTATCTACAGTGTTAGAAAATAGGAGAGAAAAGCCCAGTCATACTTGCATGTAGAAATAGAAGAGATTGAATTACCACTGATCTCCCATAAGCACACTATTAAAATTTATCCAGGGTTGATTTAAATACATAAATATTTTTTTAATTTGAACTTGAAATGTTTCTGGAATCCGTTCTATAGAAGTGAAAAATTCATTTTCCCACATAGCTTTAATAAGAAAATACAGGAATTAGTCTTTATTACTCAATGATAAGAGAACACTGAATACTGCACTCAATTACTGCAAGAATCCCTTTCAGAAACTGAATTCAATATTCAGTATTCCCTTTTTACTGAGTAACAGAGACAATTCCCTGAATTCCTTTCAAGAACTGCTTTACTTGTTAGTTCTAAGAAACTAAATAGGAATAGTCCTTAAATAAACCCTAGACTTTTAAGTGTTTTTCCTCTGATGGTATAGCTCACAGAACACTGTAATTTCACAATCATACCAAACTGAACAAAGGGACAGATTTTCCCACAGGCACGAGCTGCTTCTCGTCAGAAACTGATTTCTTTTGTTTTATTAAATGATTACAGCTTCATGGGCAACAGGCATTGAGAGGCTTTTGCAACTTTGTTTTTTGAAGTTTCTCAGAAAGATGGGGAAAGCTAAGATCAAGAAGCTAATCTCCAAATCAGCAAGCCTACAACTTAAAGCTATTAGAAACACTATAGCAGCAGCACAAGACTAAAACTATGTTTGAGTTCACTCTCCAGTAACTGCTACTCTGTCGTCAAATATTTATTAGTATGATCCATGAGAAAGAAGGAAGCAGAAACTCTCAGGCAATTATGAGGCCACGAAATAGCGTTTACTTTTGGTTGCTTGTCCAACATGATGGCAGAAGAGTGACAAAACAGATGCTAAAATCACATTTTATTCCACTAGAAAATGGCAGATGAATGCGGATCTAGAAACACTTCAGACATCATAACAGTTATCCAGCTAGTACAGACTTACAAATCCTTGCTTTGCGGCCAAAACCTTGGCCAAACAGTTCAGTGTCTGGTAGGAGCAAAGACAGTGAAGCTGATTATCTCCTTAATCCTTTCTCTCCAATTGCAGTCCTTTCATGCTCCATGTCTTCCACCTACACTGGTCTTAACAGTTGTGAAATGACAAATCTTGGATTTTCTAGCACATCCCGGTACTTAATGCCAACCCAGGAGTATCTATGGCGACACCAATACCTCTTATTCTTCTTGTTCTAGAAGAAAACATAGTTGGTAACAATAGCGGGGGTATAAATAGTGAGTCATGCTGCTGCTTCTTTTTTAAACTATTATTAATCGTGGGAATTCCTGTCAACGAGGAGGTGATCTGTAGTCACCTAACCTACTTTTACCGGTGATTTAAGCAGCCCTCCAAAACGAATGTGTTGCACCACTTAATCAACTCAGGCTCTGCAAGCAGAAGATCCTATTAGAATCCTTAACGCTCTATTACTGGCAATAAAATGCAGTGAGTTGTGAGAAGGCAAATTAACTTTAAATATGACCATTTGGGCTTACCCCTCAATGGATCTTCACAAAGTATCTATCCACCACAAATCTTCAGGAATGCTGAAGAACTATTTATATCATACTGGTGTGTATTTTTATGTCAATGAAATAGGAGGAGAGTCCTACACACTGCAGTGGGAACAGTTACGTCTGAATCACTGCTTGCAAGATAATATACTTTAAAGAAGCTTAGGCAGGATTAAAAGCAACCCCTGCAAAAAGACAGAATAGTTCAGTGTTATAGATGTTACATGCGGGCTGAAGAAGTGATGGCAGGCCCTCACCCTGGGAAGAGGAACAAAGGAGAGCTCTCCCATGCATTTTATGTCTACATATGGGGTTGAACTGCAGCACAGCTCCCAGTGAAAGACTTCGGGCTCCATTATCCCTGCGTCTCCATAGGCAACTGTCACTGCAGAGATCTCTGCTGTATGTAAACACTCAAATCCTGCACAGGCTGTCTCTATATTGCAAATTTTGCCACCAAGGGTCCCACAACTAATCAGAAACATTAACAAACAAGTCTGTACAAAGGTTTCAACATACAAAGTACAATTTAAACACTGTGCAGTTATTGGTGCTATTATGAGATCAATCCCAGGATATATAAACCACATAAAATCCTATTACATCAGTTCCTACAATTACCAAAATAAAAAAAGGAGTTGCTACAGATTTTTTTTTTTTTAAATATAATTACATGAGAAAGATTTGGTGTTTTCTCTTCCAAATTCTTGCTGCCTGAATAGGGTTGACATTTTTTAAGTGAGGGAAAAAAAGAAAAAACCCCATCATATGAAACATGTTCTCTTGTTTCATTCTATCAGAAAGAACAGCTACAGCTAAGGACACCTGCTATATATAAGAATTCTGTTCAGAAGCCAAAACTAGGTAGGACATTTTAAAAAACTTAATGCAGAATTGAAACACATGGGCTACATTCTCTACCAAAAGACAATACAACAAACACAGCAGCACACAATAACCTTTGTCTCTATGTATGCTCATCCATCAGCATGACTCAACCTGAAAAAGGAAAAGTATACCTCCAGAAATTAGGAGATTACTGGTTTTTTGCCTATTTATCAGCAAAACATCTCTGCTGAGACAGCCAATAAGCCTAATACTGGTGCCAGTTTTCATGATGTGGACACCTGTCTACTAAGAACTGGACTAAGAATATCAGCTAATTTTATACAGATCACTGAACAACAGACAGATGGTAATGACTTCAAGCATTACTAACCGAGGCCAAATTCAAATCTGTCACCTACAGGTATCTAACACCATATCCTGTTAAGCCTTGAGTCATCAACTTTCACCAGCTGAGAAAGAATGGACAACTGCTGGGGAAAAAAATGACCCGCTTCACTTTTTAATGCTCACTTCAAGTCCATTTGCAATCTAAATAGTAAAAACAAATTATAATATCCATTATGCTGAGCAATGGAACCTTTAAGGTATGCTTGAGTTCCTAGTAAGAGCAAATAATCATGTAGATATTTTTATTTTCTCTAAAAACAGAAAATGCCTTTGCTCTTCAAATATATTCCTTGTTTATTTTCTGACTAAAGTCCTGCATAGACAGGAAATGAAACTCTTCAGAAATGCTGTTCTTCAGCTGAACAACACACAGACTAGAGGGGGAGAGAATCCTTCTCCTACCCTTCCTAGGGGAGACAATGGCCAATATATTTAATTCCACCAAGTTCTCAGCTGCACTTCCACAGTTACAAAATCATGAGAAAGAATACAAAAGGAGGAAGAAAAGAAAAAGGGAAATGAATGAACACAGTCCCATTCCTTCTATCTAGGAGTCAGTAGCGGATGTGGCAATTTCCAAAGAGAAAGCCACAGAGCTAACCCCAGTAGTTGATAGTGAGATTCAAAACTTATGCCAGGTTCTACCTCACACAAACAAACAAAACTCAGGAAGGGAGGGGGCTCCCACTTTCAGGCTGTGGGTGATGCTGAAGCTTGTAATCAGAGGGTTTCACAGCCGACCTAAGAACTTTGGGTGGAAGGCCAAGTCACACACCACTTTCTTTCTTCCTTTGGCCTGGCCATACAATTGGCCATTAAAAGCAAGACACCAGAGATCAGATGTCCTCTGTAAGGCACAATTCATTAAAATCAGCAGACACACAGTGCTGTCACCCTCATCAGCTTCAGTCTCCTTATTCCTTCCTGCATCCCAAAGTACAGGTTTAAGTTTGATTAGTTACTGTATCATAAAAATTTCAAAGTCATCATTAAATTTTTTTAAGTTACCATCCAATACAGGTTTGAATCAGCTCTTGCAGGGCATTGGTAATGTCAAGAGTCACTCAGAAGCCTGAAACCATGCAAGGGTTTAAAACGGCAAATCAGACCCAGGCTTTTTACTTCAAGTGAATAATGTTCCTTTCAAAGACTTTGGACTTCTACTGTCACTTTGAAACTAATCACCAGAAAAGTAATAAGGTGATTTTCAGAGAAAATACAGCTTGTGTAACTTTCAATACTTTTTCTTCATGTAATACACAAAATTTTAAAAGCAGATGAAAACTGTAGACAGGGTTTAGCTAGAAATGCTTCTACTTCAAACTTTTATGACTGAATCAAAATAGTACTCTGGTAGTACTTTTGAAGTTTTCCAGCAGGTGATGATTTTAATTAATGACACTACAAGCAGCTTCTGTTAAAAACACTGGTTTTATAGAGTAGTTTTGACCAGGAAACCTACTTGGATTATAAATTGCATGCTGAAATTCACGATAATGATATAACAGAGCATGTAGAGGATGAACTAACTTCATTTCCATCACACCATTTTCAAACATCATACAGCATTACTTTACTCGTTAGTCCCTAAATACCTTCCATCTACTCAAATTCAAACCTCTTATGCATTTAAAGTCTTCCTGACAGCAGTTGCAGGGGTTTTCTTTCTTTCTTACATGAAACTGCCCATTCTGCTTTACTTCATTCAATTTCTAGGTGACATTTCTTTGTTTCTCTCTTTATATTCTCCCCCTGCCCCAACTTAATGAGAACTTTCCCTTAAATGGTCTTTAGCAACCCTTTTAATAAACCCTTCTGGTTTGGTTTTCCACACTACCAAACCTCACAGTGCCTAGTAAGGTGACAGCAACTTTTAAAGGTTATTAGATTAATTTAATAAAGCAGAATTAAAATGCAAGGTGTCAATCCAATGACATAGGGAACTTCATTCTGCTATCAGCCCTCAACACATGCCATGCTCCTGTGCCAGTACCACCAAGAGAAGCTTCCACATACTCCACTGGGGTTCACAACGTTCCTGGGAGACCAGATCCACATTTGCAAGCATGCAGGGGCAATTTAACTTCTCATCCATAGCTACCGAAAATTGTGCAAATTAATGATAGTATGGAGAATTCTGATCCAGCTGTAGGAATATTCCAAAATCAAACATTTTCTACTTTGCTCTGCACGTGAATTATCTTCATATATTTTTATTTGTGGTAACACTGGAACATGCCAGCAAAATTCAGAATTTGGCTACCTCCCTGAGTCTGATTTTAAACATAATTTGTGCCAGAGTTAGAAATATTTTCATCAATTTGTAGTTTAAAATCAGCATCAGTTAGTCCTCTGTGAGGCCTTTTGTTCTTAAAATAAAACCTTCGTTTCATTTCAGGCCTGTGAAAACTAGATGGTGAATCAGCTTCAAGAAGAAAACAAAAATAAGTATTCTGCTGTTCATCAGAAAGTGATGTAGCTTTAACATTACCAAAACACACTATACTTTCCATCTCTAAATATTCCCATACCCTCTGACATTTTGTTTGCAATGCTATAAACTAGTTAGTGACCCACTTTCAAGATACAAATCCCATTTTTGATAAAGATTCATCAGGAAAAAAAAAAAACCAAAATATAGGTAAAATTTGATATTCTCCATTTCAATAAATAGTCTGTAGTTATTATTCTGAGCAATGTCAAAAAGTGAAATCGGATCAATTACAGAAATTTCTTTCTTTGGTTGGTTTTGTTGTTTGAATTTTTTTTAATCCAAAGTTGTTCTTCTCAAGTCAGGTATAGATCATTTTCACTGTAAGGAGCTAGGTAGCCAAGCATCATTTTTAAAAGCAAAGTGTTTCCCCCCCAAGTTTTGCTTAAAAGTTCAAAACTCAAAGATGAGTGGTTAAATGTAAACCATAGAGATTATGAGGTTATGAGGAAGTAAGAAGCAAAATAATATCCATTTTGTGAAATATTGACCGAGGCTGAAATCTGAGTTTTTTCCTCCCTCTCTCATTTACTTCAATATTGCCAATGTGAAAGTTCAAGAATATACAAAGAACTTTTTCTCCTTGATTGCATTTTGCTGAAAGTCTGCCACACTTACTGGGGAAAAATACCTACTCTTGCAAAACATCCTGCAAAGGACAACTGTATTAAAATAAAAATCACCATATATTACATATTTAGTAGTTGTTTAATTTTGGAAATCTGATAATGCTCATAAAGCATCTTTGCTAGATGACTAATTAGTTGGCATTCAACCTAAAATGATGCCAAACTTAGCGCATCTCTTGTACGCGTGCAGAAGTGTCTGTAACCTCTCCACAAAGACTAAATTGCAAAAGACTATCAGTTCCCAATGACTCCTCCGGGTGTTAATAAATTTAGCTTCCTTCTCACTTAATGTGTAAGCTAACTTAAGAAGGCCTCATTTATTCCACACACTCAAAATAATAAGAGTGGTCCATGTGTGCCAGGTGCTGTTCTTTAACAATCACGATCATGCATGTGAGAGCACTGCATATGGCATGTGAGGAATGTGCTGGAATACATGTCAGTGTGGATGGATCACATGTATGGAGAAGGTACTTCCAGAGGAAGAAGAAAGTATTTCGCAACATAAACTTACGCAAGGATCTCATTCAACCCTGTATTGGAAGCAGCCTACAAAAACCTCGTTACAGCTTTGAGCACCATAGAAAGGTCTGTAGCATTTATTTCTAAATATTTTTATATTGTTTTTTACTTTCAAATTTGCATTTTTAATATCTTCGTTGCAGATTACAAAATAAACTTTTATTTTGCCTAGATCTTAATGATTTTTGGCTCCAAGTCCCTACACAAAAACATCAAAATCATAAAGAACAGCAAGTCTGGCTGCTTCTTCAGCATCACAAAACTGCATCTTAACAGCCTGGGGAAAGGAAGAGGCCCAAAACCCCCAAACGCAGAACATAAGTGAAGGCGAATTTGAAACTCCGCCACGTCCAATTCCTATACGGCAATTAAGTCTCCTACTTCTAAATCAAAACTGGAATTTCAGCAACTGTGGTGAAGAACTGGCACCTGAGCTCTGATTTTCTCTAACTAGTGGAACAGAATCCATCAGACCTAACCTCCTGGGCTGGTAAAAGTACACCTGTTTCTATTAGGACCCGATCGCGGCATTTACGTGTCAAAACCTGCCAAGAACGAGAAGAATCTGGGTGTTAGACAGGTCACTCCATCCCCACCAAGCCAACGCACACCGGCTTCAGTGCTTATTTTTCCTCCAGCGCAGCAGCAGCAGCCCGAGCCCGGGATGTGGGCAGAGCGGCAAAGCGGGGGCTGAGCCCAGGACCGCCCCAGCGGGGCCCCCACGGCCGGGACTGCGCAGCACCCCCGGGGCTTTCGGGCCAGGCGCTTTCCGGAGGGCTCAGACCCCGGAGCATGGAGCGGGGACACACCCCCGCCTTTTCGGTCAGTACCGGGTCGGTCCGAGCGGCGAGCGCTGCATCCCCCGCCCCTGCCCAGCGACCCCCCGCCCGCCGCCGGCACCGCGCCGCCACCGTACCCCCAAATCCCGGTCGCAGCCGGTTGTCATAGCCATCCAGGAGGCTGTTCAGGATGCTGGTGAAATTCTCCGGCCACAATTTCTCCTCTTTTTTGATCTGCCCTGGCGGCCCGGTGAGACTGCGAGGCAAAGAGGGAGCGGGTGAGCGGAGCCGCCGGGAGCCCGCGGGAGCAGCGGCACCGGACCGACCGCCCGGGCCCCCCGGCGCCGCCGCCGGGCTACTCACCAGGTCGCCAGGCACAGGCAATGCAGGAGGGCGATGGAGAGACCCGAGGACATGGCGATGGCTGGCTCCTTGGCAGAAACCATCTTTGCATGCCATACTTCACGCCTGGGCACGTTAAACGCCTTGTCCGGGGCGGGGAGGGGGACGCGGGGCCCGGCGGGGGGGCGGCGGCGGCCCCCGGCGGTCCCACATGCGCGGCGCCCCGGTTGCCAAGCGCCCGGCACGGGCGGAGGAGCGGCGAGCGAGTTTCCCGCACCGTTAACTCTCTCGGGGCAACAGGCGCCGGTCCCGCCGCTCCCCCCGCCCCCGCCCCGCCCCGCCCGCGGCCCCGCGCTCCGCCCCGCGCTCCCCTCCCGGCCCGGCCGGCGGCCGCCGCTGCACCGGCGGCGTGCGGAGGTGGGGTGACAGGGCGGCCACGGAGCACGGGGGCGGCGCGGGGGTGACCGCGGTGGCGGAGCCTCCGCTCGTCCCGATCGCCTCTGCTCCCCGCGAGGGGAACAGAACCGAGAGCGGGGGCGAGCGGGGGTGATTAATTCCCCAGTGAGGAGGGTTTGGGAGCAGGAGGGTCTCTCCGCTCCGGTAGGAGAGGAGCTGGCAGGAGAGAGGTAGGAAGAGGAGGTGAAGGAAAGCTTTGACTTCAAGGTTAAAACACAGCGCGCCCAAAACAGATGGAAGCGAGTGGGTTATCCCAGGTTTCTAAACGCAAAAAAATGCCAGAATAAGGGAATCGTTTCACGTTATATCTGTTGGGTTTTTTCTTTTTTCTTTTCTTATCATTCCTATAATTAGGAAACATGATTTGATGACCCAAAAAAAATCCATTATGCAAGGTCCAAGGGATTCTGAAGAATTACGGTAAAATCCACTCAGAAGTGTTGTTAGATTGTCATAGGGTAGGGTATAGGGCAGGTTGGGTGGAAGGGGAGAACTGAGGGAAAGGAAGAGGACGGGGGGGGATGTGTTCCACACGCAGTAAGAATTGGCAACAAACAACTTGTTCTTCTGATCAAGTGTGGTGCAGAGACTATTGTTGAGGTTTGAAAATCAGTGTGCACGTCAATTTTAATGAGGGTGGTAAAATTCATCATGCACATAGGGCAGGTATTGTAATTGACTCAAAGACTACAGTACTGTCAATGCCGACAGTAAAAAGTCTTTATTCATTACTTACTACAGTATCTTTTAGCGCTGAAATGCCTGATTATCCTCAAAACTACTGTACACTTGAAATCTTCCTGATTGTACTTCAGAGTTTGTTCCAGCTAGGGTGCCCTTTGCTGATTCGTTTGAAAAACAATTAAAGCTGTGCTTGAAATCCATTTAGCCTGCTGACGCTGTTTATCTTTCAAAAAACTCTGTCTAGGCAGTCAGTTCTGCTTCCAATTTTAAAAGCCCTATTTAGGCCTCTGCAGATTACTAGTCTGCTTCCTGAGATTTTGACAAGGATGCTCATCTCCTGACTGCTTTACAGGATCCTGATCTGACTGCCATAGTGGAATGACAAATGTGCTGCCAAAACACCACTGAGTGGGGCAGCCTGCCTATGGATGGCACACGCGCTCTGTGCAGTGTTTACAGACCTGGACAACTCAGGCGCTAGGATGTCATGCCAAGGTCACTTCAGCTCTTGTGATGAGGCTCTGGGAGCAGCCTGTTTAACTCCACACACAGGTGAAAACCAGCACAACAGCCAGAGTCCACTGCTCTGTCTCCATTAGCAATCAGATCAGGAACAACAGAAGAATGGATGCACAGCTCTTCAGAAGTCTAATTTCACCAGAGCCAGATAAATTTCTCTGGGTTAATCAGACACTTGGGATCTTCTGTAAAGTGTTGTGATTTGTTTCTCTGGATCAATTTCTGCTCTAGCATGGACTATGCCAGCGGGGTACTGAGAAATGGCCTCCAGTAAAGAGAGTGTCTAGTTTTTCTCCCTTGAAATACAAAGTAAACCCTTATTGCAGAATATTGAAAATATTTCCTAGTGAGATTATTTTATATAGGGATACCTCAGTAAAATTCTGCTGGCAGAAGTGAAACTCAGAAAACTAAATTGAGGGCAATAGAGGGTAATTGAGAACTGGGCAGAATCCTGCTGGCTAGTCAGAAACTTGGAGCAAAACGTGTCTCTATGGCGCTGTCACTTATTGCAGCTGCTGAGAAAGAAAACAAACATCCAGGCAGAGCTGGGGACACCCTTGGGTTTAGATTGTTTTAATACCTTCTGGATATGTATAGGTACCTGCGTGAGCTGAAATAGCAAAGTTGAGTGGTATTCACCAGTAATGATTTCACTACACGAATGTTGTGAGAAATGCAATCACACAACCCCCTCTCAAATCCATGCCTGAAGTCAGTAGTTCTGGTACAGCAAGGAACCAAAGAAATTCCCCTTTTCATCAAATCTAGAAACTGAGCTGGTCTTCGAATGATTTCCAAGTTCTTCATAGCAAAGAATAATATTAAGGATACCTTTTGTCTCTTCAGTACAGGTATTTCAGTGAAGTAACTGCAGTAACATTCAATAAAGGTAACATCAGATTACAAGATTTGTGGACATGCCATGCAAGGGCATGAAATACTCATGGCATATTCATGTTGTTTTTTCTAAGAAAATGTAGACATCTTCTCCTGCTGTCATATCAAGCCTGCCTCAGGTTGTATTGATGCAGTATCTTGGTGCCACATGAGTCCATTTACTCCCTACAAGTGCTAGAGATAGATGAAAATTCACTTTTTCTAAATCTAGAAAATTAATTCTAGCATGTCTCAAATTTATGAGTGGTCAATATCTCCCTTAAATCCAGCAATGATTACCAAGAAGTCCATAAGATTAATACCAAAATTAGGCTGTTGTCCTTGATATCTGAAAAACTATATCATTTGTAGATTGATAAAGCATTTACAAAACAAGAATGAAGGAAACTTAAAGTTCAAAATAACAGTAAACAGTCCTGTAAGCCACATATAGTACCTCTGAGTATTTTTTTATTACTTCTGATTTATGCATTGCTCTCCTTAATTTCAATATTTTCTGAATTACAATTTAAGAGCTATTCTAGGGGTTTTTTTGGTAAAGTATTTGTAGCATAGACACACAGAAGCTCCAGAGATGCTTCTTTGTCACCAGAAGATATATGCTGTTTTGAAAAGTGCTACTTCAAATGGTCTTTGATCTCTTCACAGAATATCTGGGTTATATCACCTCTCTAAAATAACTTGATGATTCCAAGAAGGATTTAGTGGTCACAGGCTGGATTGATGGTCCCCAGAAGTGTTTGCTGAATTCAGCATTTTCCAAGCTTCTCCAGCTTTTACCACCAATTCTTCCAAGATTCCTCTGAAGAAATCTCACCCATCAGGTACTATTGTAAGAAGGGGACTATTTTTGCCTGGCTCCATATGCTCAAAAAGCACTTGAATTTTTAAAATAGATTTTTATATTTTTTTTTACTGTCCCTATACTGATATATCTTACTACTGATTTTTGATGAAACAGGCATTCTGGCCAAGCCTCAAAAGCAGGTTTATCCAAAGCTATGGATCTTAAGTATAGCTTAATCCTTTTTTTTTTTGTACAACACAGAGAAGCAGATTTTTTCACCACTCTTCCCATTTCTACTTTACCGTCAGATAAGGTGGAAAGAAAAAGAAAGTCAGTTATTTTCCTGTGTTAGTCATTACCTAACCTTTACAGGTTTGAATTTTTTGGTTTGACTTTTTTTCTCTTGTAAACTATTGGCTTTATCAACACTACAGATTACATAGGTAAATTGCAGGTTCCATCCTTTCCCATAGGAGATTTAATTATTCAGCAGATTTTTACTTGATTTAGTTTTGACATCAGATCCATGAAGACAGACAAGGTAATATTGAAAAGGCTGTGAAAAATCTTTAATGCCCAGCTATATGTTGCATAGTTAAAACCTCTAACTCTTAGAAAAGAGAAGATAAAACTGAGATCACTGCCAAGTATCTCAATGTTTCTTTATGTAAATAGCTGAGACATAGATTTCTTGGATTTTTTTTAGTTTCTATCCATATCAGCAGAGTTTCTTACAGTCTTGAACAACCAACTTGTCTTCACATACATCCTTTCTTAAAAAATCAGGGGTTGAGTATCCATTCTTTGGAAAGCGTATACCCCGATCCCATTTTTGGCAGATGACCAAGAAAAGATACGGATACCTTTGCTGTACTAACTAAAGAATCTTTCATTCCTTTCTTCTCCAACATCTACACTGATTAAAGAGATCATATGAAACCTACATGTTTACCACAACTTTGATCTAGAGTTCAGAGAAAGTCTGTACTACCTATTCAGGGAAGAGTTTTCAATCAGTGGGGATACCAGGACACTGTGGGCCTTCACCTCTAGTGATGCACTTATGTTTAAAGAATGTAGATTGCGGGTCTAATGATTGAAACTTGAGTTCTGCTCTGGGAACAGTAAGATAGATGCATGAGCTCTTTCTGGCTTTTCTTCCAGTTCCAGCTTTCCCTGTAGTTCCATTTCCTGATGTAGTTCCAGAAGTCTTCTTTCCATGTTCCTATTTCAGCATCTGATCACAAAGTTTTTACCTATGCATTCTCTAAAGTACTTACAGTCTAGATAAACAAGACTAAGTAAGGACTGGTTACCGAAAAAAAAAAAAAAAGTACTGTTATTTCTGTTTTGCTGGGAATAGAAATACATATAGCTTAAGCAGCAATGCAACACAATGTACAAAATGTAACTGCTTCCAATATAAGCAATGTGCAGCGGAACGGGAGCTTAATTCCAGTCCGCTGTGTCCCAGGTCAGTTTTCTAGTCATCTTATCTGTCTTTTCAAAGCACAGCATAAGCTCTAAGTAAAATTGAACCTTCAGCTGGCCCAGCTTTGCTTCACTTCCACGGCCAGAACTCCTACGAAACTGCAGGAGCTGATGCCGACATGCATTTAGCTGTGTATTTTTTCCTCCGACATATGGTATTTACAAGACTGCTCTACAGTACCATGGGTATTTTAACACATATGTCCTTGATTGCTGGGAATAAGACTAGAAAATCCTTTGAGTAGCAAATATATAAATGTATGTATG